TTTTTTGTTTTGGACTGGTGCCATGTTGATGGTGGTCGCGATTGTCTGGTGGTTATGGAGGGAAGAAGGGTATGGTGGGATGGTGGTTCTAGGGTTTGGGTTTGGGTGGTGGTGGGGATGGGGAAGGGGAGGGGGTGGGTCGCTGGAAATGGAGGGGGAAGGGTGGCTGACGAAGGGGGTGGCAGTGGGGTGGCTGGAAGGTAGCTGGACGGTGGTTGGGCCCCACTAACGGAAATAGATAAAGTTAATGGAACCAACTAACGGCGAGGTCACAATGTACTGACTTTTCGTATTTTAGGGTTACAGCGTAGAAATTCATATTTGTCAGGTCACAACGTAGAAAAGTAAAAAAAAAACGAAGTCACCATATAGAAAAACCCTTAATTATTTTTACATGAATCTACCATTTTTCAAAGATTTTAATAAATTTCTATTTTCATTGTTTACAGACTTGCTTTTTTAATTTTCATTAAGAAAATTTTTAACTTCGACTTTGCTTGTGGTTTTCATTTAAGATTTTTAACACTGTTTTTGTAAAATTTTGAATTAGATCTACAAAACTATGTTTTTAATTTGGATAATTTTTTAATGTACGATTTAAAATTGCTTTTGATTTTTTTTTTTTTTTTTTTTTTTTTTTTTTTTTTACAGTTGTTTGTAATGTTGATTTGATTTTTTTTTTTAAAAAACCAATCTTATCTTAATGTTTGTTTATGAGTTGATAAAATTCATATTTGGCTTATCTTTATTTTTTGATGATGGATTATCTTTTCCGTTTTTAATTCATTGGTTTGGATTTATATTTTTTTGAAAAGACTTTTTTTTTTTCTTTTATCTATTTCTAAATTTGACAATTCTATTTTTTAAGATATTTTACTCTACAAGATACTATTTGTCTTTGATGTACTCAATTTAATGTTTTTTTTAATTTATGTTTTTCATTTTGGTGCTCCTTTCAAGTATTGTTGAGTCATTTATTTATTTATTAATTATGATTTTGTGTGTTTTGTAGGTGAAAATCCATTATTCAACAACTAAACAATATATTGGATGGTAGCTACATCAATTTTGTGAGAAGAAATTGTAATAATTTAAGATTTTTTAGCTGATTAGTTATGTACAAATGATTATATATTCCTTTGCATTCTAAATAGTGTTAAATAATTACAATCAAAATTGAAAGTATTAGTGTTTAATTATGCTTAATGATGTTTTTGGATGCATAAATAAAAATAAAAATTGTTCTTGACAGTCAATAAACACGCATATTTATTGGGTGTTTTTATTTAATTAAGAATTTCAACAACTCTATCGTTTAATTGCATTAATATATACTTTAATAATTTTCATTACATGCTTTGTTACTCCTATATTGGTAGATAGTTTGCTTTATGCAATATGTATTTCTCCACACATGATATGAGGTAATACAACTTTTTAATTAAGAAATGAAAATTATAAGTAGTATTTCTTCAATGCAATTTAGATTTACATATAATTTGATTTAAATTAAATGTGGAACAATTCAAGTATACAATAAAAAAATCTTTAATCAAATTATTAAAAAATATTTAACTAACAATTTTAACACGTGCATCGCATGGGCTAAATACTAGTTAATTATAAAATCATTACTTTTATATGTTTATAAAACTTGAGGGATCGATGTAAGTTCATGATGATTTCAAGTAAAGTTAATCAAATAAAAGTTTGAAGATCAATGTTGATATTTAGTATATGATAATGGAAGATTAAGTTAATGATGATTTAAAGAATAAGGACACCATTAACGAAAGTTGAAATTTGGTTATTTATTTTTGTCTTGTTTCATTTTTGATTCATACAAAATCATTTATTGGATTTTTTTTACATACTTACATTAGATTTTATCATTATTTATTAACGTAATTGAAACAATAAGATATAGAAAAAGATTTTGTCATAATTCCCCAAATAATGCCCTCTAAAATCAAACAAAAAGGCAAAATTACGAAATGAAAGATGAGGGAATATTTTTATTCCAAAAAAAAAAAAAAAAAAAAAAAAAAGATGTGGGAATATTTTCCTTCAATATTAAACTACACCAAGTCAGCCTATATACAAGCTATGAGCCTCTCATAAGGCGTAACAGTAGGCATACAATAAGGAAACTAATTGTTTTTTTTTTTTTTTTTTTTTCTAAGAAAAACTAATTGTTATCCTTGGACTACAAGGCTACACAATAAAATCTATACACAAAATATTAACACGTCAGTCTTTAAGATATTTTTTTATTTTTTTTTTCACCACAAACTAACTCCCAAGTTCATCAATGGTATTGTAGCTTCAACATTCAACAATGGCGCATTACTCAAAAATTATATGACTAATAAAAATTAAACACGAAATCGTATGACTAATAAAAATTAAACACGAAATCACAAGATAATACGTGATTTTTTTTAACTAAATTATGTATACATATAATTAAATTGATTTCAATCTCAATATCTCAATCTTTTAAAAAAAAAATTGACTCATTAATTGATTTAAGTTGACGCATAAATATCATGATTATACATTAATAATATTGGTCTTATATATACTTTGGTAATTTAAGGATGAGATTTGGACAAAAACTAAAGGTTGAAGGTTGAAGATGGAGTGAGCCATTAAAGAAGGTTGAAACTATCAATATGAGTATGAAGCTATCAAAATGATTTTGAAAGAAATCATATGAGAATTATTCAATTGATTGTTAAAATTTAGATAAATACTAAATATAAGTGTATATAAAAAATTTACACTTAAAAAAAAAAAATTACCCTCTAAAAGTAAGAAAACAAACAACACTTTGATGACTGGTCGCTGACTTGTCATGACTTTAATGATGTGTAAATTAGATTTTTTACTTTTTTAAAAATATAATATTTAAAGGCTAAGATTAAGGAGCAAAGAATATCAACGGTTCAGATTATTTAATCTCTTATTGTAGTCATCCGTAGTCGTCCGTAGTCGACAACTATGCTAGAAGCATCAGATATACAACTAATGGCATGGATCGAAGATGTGAAATTGAGAATAAATTGGACTGAATATTGTGAACTTTTAAAATTTTTAAAAGTAAAATGTTCATGGCTTTTCTTTGCATGAGAACGTAAATGCTCTTTACTACATTAATACTACTTCCGTTTCTTATTATGTGCAACAAAAAAACTAATTTATATCTCACAAATAATACCCCATTGTTGCACATAATAAGAAACGGAGGTAGTATATACTCTACGAATCAGCATACAGACATCTATCAAATTAAATTTAGAAGAATTGAAAAATTGCTTATTAATCATTACTGCTATAATCATACTCATATACATAAATAAGATTTGAAAACTACTCCCCGTATGATAGTAAGAAATTTTTTGGATCATAAATCAGATTTCATTTCACTAGTTGTCTAGTTGTATGTACGTAGTACTACATATATCGTAAATCCCTATTATAATTAGTATATAACATCAATTATAATACTTCATATAGTGTAGGATAATGTAAGAAAAAGTGAAGGTCAAGGTTTGAAGCTCAAACCTTCAAAAGCAGTTGATCTAAAATCGTTGGATGAAGTTTCCACAAGTATCAAGTTAGTAAGGCTTGGCCTGTTTGTCCAAATTGGTTCGTGCAACAACTATACTTGTTGTATATAGAGGACAACGTGACCATGTTGAGTTTAAACACAATCGTTGTAAGTATGGGATTTGCACTAGCAGCATGACCTTTCAAATTCTGCATAAGTGCATGATCTATTGTAATAAGGTTTTTTAGTTTGTTCTAGCCAAACTTTAGCTACCATTATTTGCCTTGCATTGTCATATTCTCGATCAACATGACCTCTCTAAAGGAATGACAATGAATGGTTAAAGGGTTTCTCCTCTTTTCTTCAATCCTCTATTCCTACTACCTCTTCGTTCTCTTGATCGGAGCTTGGATTCTTTATTTTACATGCTTTTGGGAGGCCTACAAATGGATCAAACACTACAAATGCTCCTATATGGATGAAAAAAGGTGCGCTTAAAATAAAATACCATTATAATAATGGTTTCATTTCTATTTAGTTAGTGCACCATTTTCCTAAAATGTAAATTTCATAATAGTTGCATTATTTTCTTATTAAGTATTTTGTACAGTTATTATTGTAGAATGACCTATATGTCCTTACTTTTTTTTTAGCATGGATCAATTCCTATTTGCCTGAATTTATACTTCGTATAATTTAATTTTCTTTGCTTACAATATCCTTCACATGTCCCGACTTTTTCTCCTAAATGGTACAACGTAACTAAATAGAAATGGAGGAAGTTTTACTTATTATCAAGCAACATCTTTATGCAATTTTTGCCTCCATTGTACTAACTCAACTCCACCATAAACACTGAATTATATTAGACCACTACTATTCTACTAGCTACCTCACTTAGAATGATATAATTAAGGAAAATGGATGAGAATCATTTGAAATCAAATCAAGTTGATTTAAACAAACTAGATATTAATTTGGTTTGAGTTCTTGTCAAGCCTTACATTATCACATTCAAAAACACAATCGATCTTAAGTAAAATAATCCACCCGACTTGTGTACTATTCATCCTTCAAACATGTAGATATCATTCTTGATCTTTAAACAAGGCTTCTCTCCATTTAGCTTAACAATATTGCCTTAGTATTTATGCATTCTTAGCGGTATAAAAAAAAATAACCTAATTAAACCCAATCTAACTCGAAAACGACCCAATTCGTAATTTGACTTGCAAGAATACAATGATTTAAACTCCACCTAGCTAGATCTAAACCAAACCCGACCTAGTTACCTAAACTGCTTCCCACTATATCAAGAGAGTCCGAGATATTTTGCATTTTGGTCCAGTTTTGGGCTAAAGCCCACTGGCCAGAGCTTTAGAAAATCAGACCATATCCTCCAATTCACAGAATAAAAGTCCAACCCAGGTTAAATAAATGTCAGAAGCCCTCTGATTCCAAATCTTTTTTTAACTGTCTTTCTAATTTCTCTCTCTGACGACAAATTCTCCGACCTCCGGCAACTAGTCACCGGGAAATTTAGTACGCCGCCGTTTCATTCTGAATTTCTGAAGCCGCTTAGTGGTTCGTTTATTTTCCCCTTTTCTTGACCGCGAAATACAAATTTTCTTTTCTAATATTGTATGTTCTTTGATTCTGCTCTGACTTTGGATCGTCTTTTTGCACCTAATTATATGATATTATCTGAATTATGTTTGTTCTTCTTGAAATTATTGTTGATTGTTATGTTGTTGCATTTATTTTAGTTCCAGTGTTGTTAATTGTTAAATTCATAAGGTTCATTGCTAGATTTCAACAATAATTATTGAAATTGATTTTAAATTTCTATTTTACAAGTGATAAATACAGTGATTTTAGCTATACTATTGCTAAATTTTTTATTAATTCTACTTTGCTTCAATTATGGATTGGTATTATAAGTTTAATATGGCGAATTCTTGTTTAACTAGATTAGATTACTATTGTTCGTTACTTTTCAATTCAAATTGCAATTTATTGTTGTGGGATATCAATAATTCTCGCATTGATGTACTCATGCACAGATTTTGTAAGCTTCAATAGATTTTTGCTAATCAAAATTGATTTCTTGATTATGCAAACTTAATTTACTCATCTGAACTTATGTATTGATTCACTTGGTGTTTTTGTTTGAATGTGGTTTTCTTATCAGAATTGATTACCGCTGAAACTGATTTTTATTAGCTAAATTGAATAGGGCCTTTTAATATAACAAATGTCAAATTTTAGTCAATTAGTCATGAAATGGACTTCTTAAGTAGTTGCATTTCAATAAAGTGATATATTGAGGATAAATTTGGTCATAATTTTGGAAGAATATTAAAATAATGTTGAATCAATTAATTTGGTAAGACGTGATTCTTACGATAAAGTATCAAGGTCTCTTATATCAATTGTGATTATTGTCTTATTTTTTTCAGATAGGAAGATTGCATTGATTTTACTGTCAATAAGGGTTCCGCCACTTCCCAAAATTTTAAGAACGGAAGAGGACATGGAGAGTGAAGCAGAGAAGAATTGGAGTGAACAAGTGGAAGATTTAGTAGATTCCGGAGACATAGAGGCTGCAATATCCCTCCTTGAATCCCTAATTTTAAAGCTCGAGACCCTAAATTCATCAGATTCACAGCTTCAATTAGCCTCTGCACTCCTTGAAGTGGCCAAGCTTTACTCCTGCAAAGGCCTCTCTCTCAAATCTGATGACGCTCGATCTCGTGCTTCAGCCATCAACCTCCGCTCCCTCTCACCTTCTTCTATTTCCTTTATGTCAGTATTTCCTTCCATTTTACTTTTAAATTGTAATTTTAGAATTGGATTGGTATTGATATTTTTAATCCTTATTTCAGTGAAACTTCCGCAACAGAAGAAAAATCTGGGGTTTCTAATAGCAATGATTTGCCTTGGATTAATTTAACCAGAGATGGTAAAGTATTTATTTTGTTATTTGAAACGTTAAATCATCATGCGGCCTGTGCCTCCTTTAAAAGTTACATATTTGATTGATTAGTTATATGTCTGCTTTGATGGCAGGGGATTATGACTTATGTTCAAAATCTTCAACTGACAATGTAGCTCCTCAGGAGTCTTCAGATGACGGTATAATTTGCTCCCTGCTATTAACCTAATTCTGTCATTTTAGGTGCTTTCTTAGTCTGCAGAAATGTGCTCTGTTATAAATTCAATTTGTTGTGGTGACCATAGTAAAATGACTTAAATTCTTAGTCCAGAGGGAGTATGAAGACTATGAATGTAGTTAGCAAGGACACCGAAAAGTTATTAAACTTCCTTATAATGCTGAACTCAAACAACTTAATGATACAAAAATGAAGGGATTCCACGCAAACAGCATTATTCTCTTTGTTACCTCCCTGCTGGACCTTATCCACACTAAGTTGATTATGCTTATTGATGAAGAAAAATCAGATTAAAAGTGGATTTTATCAGAGATTTCTTGAGGAAGAACTAAACAATGTGTACAGAAGGCTGCGGTACACTTCAATTTCTGATCTTGAGTTATTAAAACCCTTATGAAGCTTAATTAGGCTAAGCTTTCTTGATATAAACATTCAACACTGCTGATAACATTAATCTTGAGTTTTGATCCTAGATTTGGCCTACCCAGGATTTTTCATTGAACTGTGTTAAGAAAGAGGCTCCCCTGTACTGTGCTGCTTAGCTTAGCAATTGAAGAAATCAGTGTGCTTAATTGAGATCTAACCAGCGTTAATGTTGATATTTGGTTATCTTTTTCTTCTATAACACTTCAAAATACTAAATTGCATTATAGCTCTATGGTAAAAGGTATTCAGTTTTTTGCTGAAGAGGAACTTTATAAATATTTTTTAAAATTTTTTGTGAGTACTCCTTAAACTGCTAGAGTGTGCTAGTATGGTAACTAATTCCATTGTCTTAAACTTCCTTATAATGCTGAACTCAAACAAATTTTTTGTGAGTACTCCTTAATTATGTATCTTACTTTCAACTTTTCAAGAAATCTTATTTCAATTATTGTGGATTTATGCAATTTTTTTGGTTGCTTTTGGTGACTCAAATAATTTGCTTGACATAAGTTATATAGTATAATAGTATAATACATTGATGCTATGATAAGTAATAAATTTGGGTATAATCCACAATACCTAGGAAGATGAAAGATTCCCAACAAATTTAAGGACCCCGGGATGCCAAGTTGGTAATATAAACACTATTTCTTGCGCCTCTGCACTACCAACGCAACATAATTCCAAAATAGTCGCATAGCTTAACCAAACTCATTCTTGGGATTTTATATACCTATTGATATGCCTCTTATGGTTCCAAATCAACTTATATGACCCTAGGTGACAACCCACTCATTCACTTCAATTTTGGAAAAATTTCCAAAATTGGCTCAAAAGCATGGATTATAGTTCTTTAGGGACCATTTTTTAATTTCCCGAGTAGGAAAGAAAACAGGCTGAGGTGTTTCTCGTGGACCCCACGATCTTGAAAGTCCATTTGGGTGATAGGAATTGTTGGATTTGCATTTAAACTATCAATTTAGTCGTTTTTAACTTATGTTTCTATTTAAAGCCATCATGAGACTTTATATGACGCCATATATGTTTCCAAACAATATTATTTTACCTTGGTATGCATTCCCTATATTACAATATTGGTCTCAAAAACTCCTAAATTTGTCCAATATAGCCTTCAGTTTTGAACATTTTTCGACTATTTTTTTTATTATTTGGGAAGTAAAGAAGAGGTTGGAGTGATTCTTATGTTCCCGAAGTGTCCATTTTCCCTTCAAATCGTCAATTTAGCTGCAGTGTACATATCAAGTACATACACCTCACTCTTAACTAACTCAAGGCTACTATGGGCTAATATATGACTGACTAGTGAGCATATATGGTTCCAAGTAACATATTTGACCCCAGGATGTATCCTCTACCATCCCGAAAGTTTTAGACATTGGTCTCGAAAATAGGTCCAAAAGTGTGCGTCTAACTTTCAGTTTTGGACAATTTTCAACTTTTTTGGATCTGGAAAGGAAAGAGGTTTGGGTGATTCCCATGGATCCTAGGACAACCTAGGAGGCTATCTGGGTGGTTGGAACCATCTCCTTTGCCTTTAAACTATTAATTTATCCGTTTACAACTTATGCCTCCTTTCTTTGACTTTAGGTCACCATGGGATTTTATGTGATTGACTACTGGCAGTTTATGGTTCCAAACAACATTATATGACCCAAGATTCGTCCTCTATGATCTTGTGACTTTTGAACACGGGGTTTTGAAATCTTCGAAATTAGTCTGTTTTCATGTATTTTAGCCTTCAAATTTGGCTTTTGGAGAACATTTTTTGACTTGACCAGATTATGCATTAATGTTATTCTTGGGTTTTTCAAAGGGCTTGGAACGCCTACATAGTGCCCGGAATCATCTCATTCATGCCTTGACCCACCCTACGTTATCATGTTTTGTGATGCCTTGGCTGGCCTTGCATTGTCTTGCCGTCCTAGGCCTTTTATTCCCTTGCTTTGTCCCTAAGGCAAGCCTATGCCAACAACATGGTCATGCCTTGGAGCACTAACACCCAAATGGTCATTGGCATCAGCATCATTGTCCTTGACCCTATCCCGTACTTGGCATTTTTTAGCACCAAAGGAACATCGCACCCTCATTTAGCAAAATATTAGTTTTCTTAGGATTTTTTTTTTTTTGGGGGCGCTTGGGGGGGGGGGGGGGGGGGGGGCTCAACTTTCATCATTAGATACTTTAATTTTTTATTAGTAAAATTACTCTTAAAGTTGATATTGCGATAATATACATTAAGACTATTCTAATGACATTTTACATAAAAACATTGTTGTACATATTAGTAAAAGAAAGTGGCAAAAGTTTGTGTATTGATAGTGCAAAAGTCAAATTGTTGCTATTACTTTGGTACCAAGGAAATTGTTGATAAATTTTTCATCTTCTTTCTTTAATGGGACTTTAGCTTCCTGTTGTAGAAGGAACAGTTTGCACTTAGCAAAGAAGACACTTCTATTTTTTTATCAACGTGGATTTAATTGGTGATATATTATGGTAATTCTTGCCTTGTGAAAGACTTGTATTTTTTTCAGGGACTGATGATCTTGTATTCTGTTGTTGATACAATTTTCTGTTAGATATTATATGGTGAATAACTTTTTATAATGTTGTTTTCCTTGGCGATAAGACTGGGAAGCTATAGCAGATCGTGCACCAGATGAGTTGCTCCCTGCACAATGCTTGCCAGAGGTTTCAAAGCTTACATTGTATGACACAGAGGTGGAGAAGAAGGTCCCAAACAGACGTGGGAGGGGAACCTTCACATATAAGAAACAAGGAATGTACAGTGATGAGCAAATCAACGACTCTATTTCCTGTGACACATCAGATGAGAATGTTCATGAAAAGTCTGAAAAGATTTTGGAAGGGAAAAAATGTGAGTGAGACTTCTTTGTTGATTGTAGAGAAGTATTGATTTATGTTCAGCCATTTTACTCTGATTTAGCAACTTGGAATTGAAAGGAAGGGGAAGGAAAAAGGAGGAAAGGGAGGGAGGTGATTGAGCTTTATATTTGTAGAGATAGTGTTAGTTGAAGAGGGAGGGAAAATGGATCCTTCCCCATTCCTTCCTTCGTACAACTCTTTATCCAAACAAAGGGATTTGCTCCCTTCTTTTCCTTCCTTCCCTCCCTTTCTGTCCATTTCCTTCTATCCAAACAATTTGTTAATGTTTGTTATAAAGTCTTATGGAAAAAGACAGAAGTTTCAATTATGCATATCTACAAGCTATCTTGTCAAGTAGATGCTATTCTGTTTGCTTGATTAGCTGCCTATATCACTGCAATTTATTTAAATATTGGTATATTTGTGCTGCATGTAAATATTGAAAATAGCTGCTTATTTATTTATTTTGTTACTTTGTGTTAGCTTTATATGGAACACATCATGTCCTTGTCTTGGATGGATTCCACCCGAGTACGACAACAATAGATTTGGAGAGACTTTTCGAAGGTTTTAGAGACCGTGGATTTGCAATTCGTTGGGTTAAAGATACACTTGCTCTGGGTGTATTTCGAACTCCATCAACTGGTATGTGTGGCATGTCTGGTATGATATCGTTTATTGACATTTTAAAAGCTATTGACATCCTGGCAAACATACTCTGTTTCCTGATATTGAACCTTACTGGAACAGTATAAATCATCAATGGTAATTATTTTGAAAATGAATATTGTAACTTTTCTATTTTATGATGAGGCTATACATGTTAATTATGTGAATTTTTGCATGTATTCCTTTGCATTGGATTCTTCAAGAATTAGAAAAAGAATGATGGTGCTATATTGAGTGCCCAGTGAATCATTGATGTACGAAGATGCCTGTAATACGAAGATAGATTTGCCCCCCTTTCTGCCAATTTCAACTGCCTAGGTCTACTAGCTGTTGTATCCCTCGAAAAAATATACTAGGAAAATTCTACTAGCTTATCTGTTGCAGTAATTTGTAAATGTACTTTGGTCTATTTTCCTATTCTCTGTTTTATGGCATAGATAAACTGTTGGAAAACTGACCGTCCTATATGAGGAGTTACTGTCAACTTGCTATCAGAATACATTTTGCTGGGTTACATCCCTCACCCCCCCCCCCCCTCCCCTTCTGTTTGGGCCTTTGCATGTGTTATTTGTGGAGATAATCTGATTCAAGGTTTATGATTCAATCACACATGTACAAAAAAAAAATTGTTTGGAAATCAATACTTTCCTAGCTGTACATCTGCATCTTTGTACATTTTTTTATTATTATAGTATGATATTGAGTATTTATTATCTTTAGTTTATATTTTTAGAGCCACAGTTAATATACTTTTTTGATGACCATGAAAATGCAGCTCTTGAAGCCTTAAATAGTGTTCGTTGTTCTTTCAAAGTCCGGGTACTTGAGGAAGATGACCCCATGATGGGCTCCATTTCAATCAAAGGTATAATCTCTAAATCTGCAATTTTCTCTAGATGTGTTACTTGATACTTCAGCGCACTCTCATTATTTTGAATGTACCATGCCCATTATCAAGCAGTGTTCACTCAGTGTTCAGTGTATTTCTATACTTCTATGTGCCTAGTTTGGTTCTCTTCTATCTTGCTGTTTTTAGCTGCATATGCTGTCATACCCTATTGTATGTTGTTAGTACTCTAGTTTTAGCTGACTTGTTCTTCTGGTGTAAGTACTCTGTTGATCAGAGTGAGTGAAAGGAAGAAGTGTTACTCGTATGCTGTACTAAACATGTTCATTATAATGTTAGACTTGGACCCACCTCGGCAAAGACCTAAGACGTCTGCTAGAACTGCTCAGAGGCTGATTGCTCAAGAATTGGGGGTAAAGTTGCCATCAACCTTTGGGTCTACAGAGCTGAGGAAGCAAGAAGATGCTAGAAGGAACCGTATTGTTACAAGGCAAAATTTGAGGGATGAAGTTTGGGGGCCTGATGATACAAATTAAGGTAATTGCACGTATATTTGTCTCATGTATTTCTGTAGATGACTTAATGTTGTATGATTTATCATTTATGAGGTTGGCTTGTATAATGTTACTCGTACTACATTGTGTTTGATGAGTTAGGGCAGTTTTTTCAAGAAAGATAAGGCAGTTTTGTTAACAAAGTGGAGAATGTATATGTTTCATACACAAATATTCTTTGTACGATGGTAAATTAAAGAGTGTCAACAAGAAATACCGCTATAAAATCTGCATTTTTTTTTTTTTTTTAATGTTGCATGCTTGCAGCTGAGAAAGGATTTTCCCATCTTTGAGAACGGAGTTTTATGTCTGCTTTTAGACGCTATACTTTCCAATGTGTTTCTTATTTAGTCAGGCAATATAACACCATATTATACGGCATAATATGCTAAAAATACACCAGAGTCCAGAGGTTAGACAAACTATCCATAGTTCCATACTAGCTTATCTATCACGCCTCGACCCTCTCAAGTCGTAGCGAATTGTGAGTGTCCAACTATAGTGCTCTTATGAGCAAACCCAACAGCAGGTTCTTTCAGGTGATCAAAAAGTTTGTTTAACATTACAGGGATAAGGTAACTTTAGTGTTGAGTCATTTCATAGGTTTGGAATTTCTCTGTTTGGTGGGAACCATTTTCCATGGTCGTCAAACAATACAAGTACTCCATTATTTAAATGACAGCAACTGTGTCAAACACTCAACTCTTGTCCAAAAAAAGAAGAATAGAAAAAGAACAAAACTTAAATGATGTTTCTATTTTCACGCAAGTAATATTCAAAATTGAATTTGGTTGCTTACATGCAAATTGCAATTGAGTCCATGTAACATGCAATGGTTGACTAAGGAATTTTAAGTGGGTGGGGGAAGTGTAAGCCGTGAAGTATATTGCCTTCTAGACGTTGTCAAAGATCGAGCATAAACCAATTTTAGCGTTTACCTTTGAACTCGTTAACTTATAAACCTTGATGACATATATTTGGAGCCATTTGCAAATGCATTTAATTATAGTATGTGTTTTTCGACTATTTGACACTTGGACTTTGGAAATATAATACTCGTAATGTCAAAAGCTGATCGAGGTATATTCAAGGTCTTATTCATTTTTATCTAGGCGAGTTTAAAGAGTATATATTATTCTTAAGTATAACGAAAGCCACTTAATATAATTTTATTTCATCATTGTGATTTAAATATCGATACAAAGTAAAAAAAAAAAAAAAAATTGACAACAAATACAAAGTATTATAGACAATGAAAATGATGAGGATAACAAATGAGGAACAATAAGTTGATTTTTTTTTTTTTTTTTTTTACCTGAAGAATCGGTACCTTAGCATTCTGCATGAACACATAACATGCATGGAGTATTGACAATGTGTTCCAATTAAATTGATCTATACTTAATTCTATGACAATTAGTTTAGCATACCATACATCCTAAAATGAGGTGGTCCATAGGGAGAAGAAAGGTTTTGCAGCAAGTAATTTTAGAAATTAATGGAAATCTTGGATAATATTCTAGACATACTAACCAGGGCTCTACTTGGTCAATAATTCACTGCTTCCAGAAATCATTTTTACAACAAGGGGAGAATAATATGCAGTACGTACATATATTATTTCTGTTTCAAATGAATAAGTATGTCCTATTTAATTTTTTAGAATTTATATTATTAGTTTAATTTGCCTCTAATTTTGCCAGGACTGCCTCATATATGTTATAACCGTGTGATATGCTTCTACATGCGTACAATGGATTTGATTGAAATGACTTTGGTTCATGTCATTATGTGTCTTCTCTATTCTAACCATCTAATATGGATACTTAGCCAACTTAAGCAGCTTATAATGTCAATTGTGTTAGGCTCGTTTCATTAACATATTATTTCCGGAGTTTCTCATTAATCTCATACTACGGAGTAGCTCTTAAGTTTGTCTTGGTTGGATTTACATTTGAGGTACTCTTATTGTAAGAACTTTATAACTTGGAAGACTAATTAAAGTAATGTCCTTTATTTTATTTACTTGTATTTATCTTTGTTTCTTTTTTCACTTTTCTTTTTTCTCTTTTTGAATTGGCTGGAGTGTCTTAAATTTTTTTGCTGTACTTTGAACCAGATAGCAATTTAAGCATCAGATGGCAAAAAGTCTAGATAAAAATGCGTTTTTATTTTTTTTTATGCAATATTAATAGTTTATTTTCTGTTTCATACTTTGCAAGTATGGATGTTTGAATATGAGTTGAGTTACAAGTACTTCAATGAAATGTGAAGTAGTAGTTAAATTAAAAATTTAATGGTACCACAAGGTTGAGATCTAGCTAGCTGTTTGTCTCGATAAATCTAATGAGTGGGCCAATGCCCATTTGTTTGGACTGAAAAACTTCAGTCAGTCTTTTTTTTTTTTTTTTTTGAAGCAAAACTTCAGTCAGTCTTGATTCTTGGGCGAGTACTTTTTTAATTTATGTTTTAAGCAAATTTGGGAAGAAAAAAGGGCCAAAAATCAAAGAATTCAGATTCTTTTACTTGAACAATGTATGTAATTCCCTGTACTTGATTAGTTGAATATTATTTAGGCCAAATTAGAAAATATCACCTGCAAAAAGACCCGATTTTGATTATAACACCTTAACATTTCGAAATTTTATTATAACACCTACAAAAATCCCAAAATTTTAGTTTCACCACCCACTAACGGACTTTTGGATGGAAACCGTTAGTGGGGCCCGCCATGTACACGTGTCAGCTGTGTATTGGTTTAAAAAAAAAGAAAAAAAAAAAAAAACCCTAACCCCCTAACCCTGCCAGCCCCACCATCGGCACCACCTACCCAGCCGCCGGCATCACCTACCCTCGCATAATCCGGCGATACCAGGCCCAGCCCAGCCCTGAAGTTGAGCAGCGAAAAACCTTCCGGATTAACGCTTGCAATTGACGGTTTCCTGAGCAGTGAAATCGCCGGAATTTCACCGACGAAACTCACCGGATTCTGCAGGATTTCAGCCCGTTTCTTGAGCCACGAAATCTTCCGAACAACCACCTGCGAATTGACGGAGAACCACCTGCGAATCTGCTGAATTTCGCAGCGATTTCAGCCGGTTTTTGCGAAGCAACACCACCGGAATTTGGCTAAGACAACTTCCGGTTTGACGCCTGAAATTGACGGAGAACCACCTGCGAAATTTCGACTGGTGCTTGTAGCGGTTGTTGACGGTGGTTTGGTTGTGGGTCTGAAAGAGGCGAAGGGGCTAGGTGGTTTTCGTGGAGGGTTGTGGAGGGTTGGGGTGATTTTTCGGGGAGAAGGAAGGGGGAAGGGGATTTACGGGGGGGCTGATGTTGGTGGGGGTGACGGTTGGTGGTTTCGCCGGAGAAGGAATGGAATCCAACGACAGTGGGGGGTCTCCGGCGGTGTAGTGACGGTCGGCGGTGGTGGGGCTGGTGGCTGGGTTAGAGTTTAGGGGTTTTTTTTTTTTTTTAATTTTAATTTTTATTAATTTTTATTTTTAAGCCAATAAACAACTGACACGTGTCCCTAGTGGGTCCCACTAACGGTTTCCATCCAAAAATCCGTTAGTGGGTGGTGAAACCAAAATTTTGGAATTTTTGTAGGTGTTATAATAAAATTTCGAAATGTTAAGGTGTTATAATCAAAATCGGGTCTTTTTGCAGGTGTTATTTTCTAATTTGGCCTATTATTTATTTAAAGCATCAAACCAACCAAACTGTGCTAGATTGGAATTAACAGTTCACCGAATCACCCTAAAGTCCCTTGATTAGATTAGTTTAATTAGGAGCTCAAAGATAGAAATAATTGTTTATATGGTGGTGCTGTTTCTGAAATCTGAATGAAACACACAAGGATAATGCAAATTACTATGAATATTTACTATTTAGTACTTACTTGGTACTTACTAATGTGTAAATGAGGATTATTTAGGCTTATATATATATTGTACACAGAATTTTAGTCTTTACCATTATCTCTATGTTAAGACTTTACCATTTTTTTTTACCGTATATTAATGAAAATCTCTTTTTATTTTATTTTATTTTTGGAAAATTCTCAATGGTGCTCTTAAGTATTTTATTTTTCTCAATGGTAAACAACAAAAATTACAATTATCTTTGGTAATCACTAAATATTAGAATTGCTTAATGATAACATTAATGATTTATTTTGGTTAAAACTTTAACTAGGGTTAGATTTTTTTTATGTTTTTAATAAATAAATTATTTTCAATATAATAATAACAAAAAAAAACCACCTCATCCCCAACAGCTCAGCCACCCCCGCCGTTCACCGACCCTCGGCACCGGCGCGCCCGACCCCTCCTCCTCGGCGCCGGCGCCGCGCCGAACTCCCCTCCCCTGTCGCATCTCCCTTTCGTCGACCACCTAACTTCTTGTCGGAAACCCCTCTCCCTCCCCCCACAAAACCCCCTAAACCATCAACCCACCTTTGAAAAACCCTAATCGGCTCTCCCTCGCCATCGCTAGGGTTCTGGTTGGGATTTTTTTCGAGGGTTAGGGATGGTTTTTAGAGGGTTTAGGGTTTCATAGGGGTAGGGAGGGGGGTTGGTGATGGGCGCGACCAACGCCGGGGAAAGAGGGATCAAGGTTGGGCGTGGGTGGTGGCAGGGGTTGGCTGGCTGGGGTGGGGGAAGAGTGGGTGGTGGGGTTTTTTTTATTTTAATAATTTAATTGTTAAAAAATATAAAGGAAAATCTTATTTTCAAGGGTATATTAGTCAATTCTCCTTTTGTTAACTATGGTTATGCTTAAAATTGTAGATTAATCTCATTAATGTCACCATTGAATTAGTAATACAAATAGTTGATTACCAAAAATAATCTGATTTTTTGCTGTTTATCATTGAGAAAAATAAAAATCTTAAAAGTATCATTGAGAATTTCCCTTTTATTTTGGATTAGTTTGTAAACTATACTACTATATATTATAAATGCATTAAAAAGTATGTGGTTCCCTTCTTATTTTGGGTTAGTTTTGTAAACTATACTACTATACATTATATATGCATTAAAAAGTATGTGGTAGTATAGTACAACTGTAATTTAATTGGGTCAGTCTAATTTAATCGCAACGCGCATAAAGACAAGAAAAATACTAGAATGCCGCAAATTTGGAATGTTTGAACTTTAGGTTATGACTAAAAAAGAGTAGTGCCGCAAAAAACAAGCAAACCCAACTGAAATATTATGCTATATTGATCTGTACTAGAATAAGTTTTTAACCTGGTTTATATGCAATAATATGGACCCTTTGCATAACTATTAACTAGTAGGCCATGAAAAGCCAAATTATTTTCTTGTTTGATCAGTTTAAAATATGAGGGACCAATTGTTATCTCTAATTCTCTAGTAGGTTCTAGTTATTTCCTAAAAAATAAAAAGTTCTAGTTAAAAAATAATAATAATAAAATAAAAGTCTTGACTATATATCATCAATAAGCAAAGGGAATAAAAAAAAATGTATAAGTAATGCTTCTCTCTATTCCAACTAAGATTATTTTGATTATTAAATCGTACCAATAATTTAACCTTTGCAATATCATTGCATAATTTCAATAATCAATACGAGTATCTTGAACTTATTAGTACGTAATTACATACAATATTCCGGAAGATTGACCATGGCCACCAAGCAAAAAATTAGTACTCATATTCTTAATTCTTATTGAAATCCTCAGTTAAAACATGTTTCCATATAAAATTTTAAAGAGATTGGGTGCTTTTCTTCACTTAAGAAAAAGCAAAAATTAAAGGAGAATTACTCCCAAAACCCGTCCCCATGTCTTAGCCAAGGTCTACCAAAGCCAGCCCCCCTCTTATTCTTTTTTATTTTTTTTTTAAAAATACCCTCCTATTTATTTTAAATTAAATTAAATTATGGGTTTTTTTTTTTTTTTTTTTTTTTTTTTTTTTTTTTTTTGCATGAAATGAAACGAATCCTGCGAATAAATTGGATCCCAAGCCAATCAACTCTTTTCACATGGGCCCAAATTAATTAATTCTCCAATCACAAAATTCCACGTGGCAATCATCTTTTCTCCATCCCAAAAAGTCTCACAAAATATGAGAGTACAAAATATGACCAGTAAACACAACTATGTAAATGTAATCAAAAGACAGCGACATCCCAACTCAGTCCATATCCCATATTTAATCATATTTATTACTAATCAATCAATTAATTAATTATTCAGTCAATAATCTCCATTTATTTATATAATAAATCATACGGTTACGTTCAAACCTCATCATTGAGAATTGAGATACTCCATATCACATCAATTTTCTCCCTTTTTATTATAATCTTCTTCACCAGCCGCTAATCTTTACCATATATATTCAATCCTACACTATTTCTTTATAACTTGTACTCTTATTTTTTGTTTATCCAACTTCCTCCATTTTTATTTTATTTTTATTTTTCTAAAACCTAAAACATGGATGACCATGATGAAGTTGAGGTGCCCCATTATTTTCTTTGTCCAATTTCCCTACAAATTATGAAAGACCCCGTCACGACCGCCACCGGTATCACCTACGACCGCTCTAGCATCGAGCGGTGGTTAAAGGAGGCAGTCGTGAATGAGCCCGTTTGTCCCGTCACTAAACAACCACTTCCTAGTCAACATTTAACACCTAACCACACCTTACGACGTCTCATCCAAGGTTGGTGCGTAGCCAATGCTAACCGTGGTGTTGAACGTATCCCTACTCCTAAACCCGTCCTTTGCCGTGCCCACGTATTGAAGATTTTACGCGGTCTTAGCGTGCCTCGCTTGCAGTCTGCCTCACTCGATCAACTCCTATCGTTGATCTCGACTACTTCGGAAGATGAACATGCCAAGGATGATGATAGGAAACTCATGGCGGAGTGTGGGGTCGTTAAAGCAATGGCTTCGTTGATTATCACTTGTTATAAGGATAACAAGACTACGTTTCTTAACGAAGCCTTGAGAATTCTTACAGCGGTTTGGGTACCGGCTAATGTGTCCTCTGAGGTGAGGACTATTGTGTCGGACAACATTGACCTAGTCGATGCTATCACGTGGGTCCTCTTCGACAAAAATGTCCAAAGGAGGACCCACGCGGTCAATTTGATCAATGAGGTGGTCAAGGTTGCGGGCTCCAGCCTAGTCGAGAGGCTGAAGCCCGAGTTTTTCAAAGGAGTTGTGGGTATATTATTGGATCGTCAAAACAATGATGATAACAATAATAATAAGAATATCAATGTAGGCCAAATGAAAGCGGCCCTCCGGGTGTTACTCGAGGTGTGTCAACATGGGAGGAATAGGCACAGAATCATTGAAGCCAACACCATTTTCCACCTTATTGAGATCGAGTTAGAGTTGGGCCTGGCCCAATCCGAGAAGAATAAGAAAATGAGCGAGCTTATATTTTGTCTATTAGCCCAACTGTGCTCCTGCGCTGACGGGCGAGCCCAATTCCTAGCCCACTCCGGAGGGATGGCTGTGGTGTCGAAGAGGATCTTGCGGGTGTCAGCCGTGGTGGATGACCGGGCGGTGCACGTATTCGGGTTAATAGCAAAGTTCTCAGCCACCAAGGAAGTGCTGCATGAGATGCTAAAGGTTGGTGCAGTTTCAAAGCTATGCATGGTGTTGCAAGCAGATTGTGCAAAATATTTGAAGGATAAAGTGAGGGAAATGTTAAGGATGCATGCGTCTGCTTGGAACAACTCACCTTGTATTCAAGTTTACCTTTTAACAAGGTATCCTATGTTACAATTTTGATAATATACATGATACATATTGATATGTAGTCCGATCTACATTTTTTTTAGTATATACAACTCTATCAATTATGGTAGAAGTAAATTTAGGTTTAGCAAAGAATTAAGTGGAAGTTAAATGTGGTATTTTCTTTTACAAATTGTAATTAATATATAGAGTATAAAATACCTATATGGTTTATTTGAGCAATATATATTATATACCGACTTACATTTGTTAAGATTTCCATATCATTAGCATTGTTCCATTATATATATGAATATATCATATTCATGTTCCATTAGAGTTGTTATATTATATACTATTGATATATAATTGATAATGTACTCTTAGTATCTCATTGCGATGATAAATTAGTTAGATAGGTGAAAAAAATCTGGCCCGAAATAAAAAATGATGAAAATTCGAAACAATTTTGATAGGATTTGGGTCTTATTATGTGTAGAATCGGACTCTAATTTCGGCTTCATTGTCATTCCTAATAAGGTATATCATAACTAGAAGAAAAATTATATTTTGATACCGTTACCAATACAATGATCCTAAAAGAATTTTAATTACTTTGAATAATCTCACAAAATGTGGCTCAGAAAACCAGATATTAATTTCAATTATGCATTCTAAGTTTCACAAAGTGCATGCTTACTTCCATGCATTTGAATCCATCACGAAATATGGATTTGAGGGATAATTAATAATGTTTGACAAAGTTACAGTTGACATTTTCAGGCTAATGCTTAGTAGATATAAATGGGTGAGAAAGATGGATAGATTTGAATATTTGATCATGTAAACATGTCATACGCACGTTTTCAGTCTTTGCAAACAAGGATGTCTGATTGGTTGTTACTACTTGGAGGATATCATGAGAGAATAGATGATTGTGCTGACTAGTTTGGCTATGCTTTAATTTGTAGACCAAATTTATATGGCTGATAATGAAGGAGATTGTCTAGAATCAAAATTGTCATTCAACTATAGTAAATACTCTGATACATAATCATGATATGCCCGGCCCGTTTGCAATATAATTGCTCTTTTTATTCTAGACCAACTCTTTGAATATCAATCGAGGAGTGAATACATATGAGGTAGTGACATGTGGTATCTCCTAATATTGAAAAAGTATTTGATAATTGATATAGTACCATTATCTCTTATTCTCGTATATGTTACCCATATCATGCTCCCCTTATCCGATATATAAATTACTTAGCTTCCTTCGTATTTCTTTTATTGCTCCGTAATAATGACTTTTACACTACTCACCTAACTTTTTTTGACCATTTTTTGTGGTTTATCCGTAATGAAAAACATAATCATGTGGGATCAAATTCGTCTCCAAATCTACTTGTTAAATATCAACTTTTTATAATTTTTACAAAAGTAGAATTAAAGATATTAATAGCCAAAGTAATATAATGACAAGCGTGAAACCCTTCATGGTGCAAAAGACAAAAAAAAAAAAAAAAAAAAAAAAAGGATAAACTTGTATAAAGTAGTGTCCACATATTCTATTAAATTAAATAATCCACAATGAGGTAGGTATTGATTTGGTGTTCTATTGTACTCCCTCCATTTTTAAATACTTGCTCAATTTTTCTTGGGCACGTATGCCAATCAAATCTTTGATCAATTATTTAATTTGTAATAAGTATAAATTTTAGCAATTGAAAATTAATAATGTATTCATTGAGACAATTCCAACAAGTACCCGCAAGACTATATTTTTTCTTATGTATAAATCACAAACATTAGTCAAAATAGGATAAATAAAGAGTGCAAAACGTAGAAATGGAGCAAGCATTTAAAAACGGAGGCAGTAAAAAGTAGCCTTCTCCATTTTTTAAGTTGACATATTTAAATTTTAGCATTAATTACACACTTTTTTAGCCTGTCTTTTGTGTTTTGCTGATTTTTGTGTAATGAATACTTATATATACGAGGTCTTATAATTTTCAAACATTAATTTTTTCAATTGTGACACATCGTTATTTAAAAGATCAATGAATGTATTTAAACATTGGCAAACATAACCAAAGAAACATATCAGTTAGAAATAAACGTATGAAATAAATATATGTACTCTGTATTTATTGTAAGATCTTGTAATTGGACGTATGTGAAATAAGTGCATTCTTTATCATGTTAGAAAGACAAACCAAATAATTGATATTTTTAAAAGAAAAAGGCAAATACTAACCTAGGATATTGAACATCACATCATACATGTAAATATGTAATGATAATACTCATATCATACTCCAAGTAATTCCCCCTTCCCCCATGGGCAGCAAATAAAAACCATGGATTTAGAATAAAGAGTAGAGTGAAACTTTTTGACTTTGCTTCTTGCTCACAAGTAAGTTATTCAACTTCCATTAGTTCGGTTACTTTTCAATAATTAATTAAGACTAGCTACTTTATGTAAATAATTATAGATTTAACAGGAAAAATATTGATCACATGTTCTATGTAATATATGTAATTGTCTAAAACACATGTTTTATTATCGTCAAATCCAGTGACCATAGAATAGCGTACGTAGCAACCCACTATTTCTTGTGGTGGTAACACATGCAATTCCATTCTCAAATTAATTTCATTTAATATGTAAAAAAAACTAATCCGACCAAAGATCTAGTCTAGCTAAAACTCAATTGAAACTCGTTATTTAGAAACACATAAAAAGTTATTTAAAAACACTCGTCAAACTCACAAGTTAAGCTAATCCAACATTCACATCAATTCGATCTACTTAACATAATGTAAATATATTGTTAACACAATCACGTTTCGTGCCAAACCCAAAAAGATAATTTATCGGGCATTTTTGGTCAAAACTCGAAAACATTGTCCGGTGGATGGAATGGCTAAATGGGACATAAGTACATAACATTGAATAGGTAAAGAGTGCAAGTGTTGACGAAAGTGGAGAGAGGTGGTTCAAGTCTTCTGCTTGTTTAACTGCAAGTGGTTAGTTAGCCACTTACCTTGGAAAGAAACGGTCCAGTCTAAACTTTTTTTGCGGCCGCCATTAGTCAAATTTATAAGCCGGGCCCAGGCCCACTTATATTGGCCCCGGCCCCCAAGTCTATTCTTATTTATTTCCATAGCCGAAATAATTAAGTCCAGTTTACGTAAACATGTCTTTTCAGTTTTCACCCTCCACTAAAACGTTTTCTATTCAATTTACTATTCCCTAATTAATATGGTGGGTTTTAAACTAATTAATTCTACCTTTAGTATAGGAACTTTTATTTTCCTAGTAACGGAGTAGTTAATTTGCTTTTTTTGTAATCACAGGAACATTTTTAATTAAAAGTTGTGTGCATGTGTTTGATGTGTATATATAAATCAACAAAATTGTATGTAGGTCATTATAGTATTAAAGTGGTGTAGAATTCAGGTACTCTTTGTACGTACAAGTAGGAAAATCTTACAATTGCTACATCGTGCTCGACTATTGTGCTTGATGCAATGAAATGTGAAGAGGTAATAATGTGACATATTCTAGTAGGGGAAAAAAAAAAAGGGGGGGGGGGGGATCGTCTCTGAATAACATTGAGCAACAATGTCTTGCAAGAAATTAGAGATCAGATTCGTTAGAACAAGCTAGCTTAGCTAGGAATTACTATATTGTTTTATTATGTACGGAGCCATGCATGCATGCTAAATAAGCTACAAAAATATCTCTGTTATAAGTACTAACTAAAATAAGGGATTAGTCCGTATTATTTTTGCCTTAATCTAAGATGGTGTAAAGATTAATAAGCCCATGATCCGATGATATATAGCTGGAAAATGACATGGCAAAAGCTGTATTTACATTTCTTATACTTGGTGTTTTGTATTTGTCAACTATTCAGGAAGGTGCTAGATTGTACTGTTAAAGTTTGACTTCTTTAATAAATTGGACAATCCTTGCCTAAAAAAATGAATTGGATAATATGAAAATGGATTTATAAAGAATCACTCACTAATAAATCTTGAAAGTAAATAATTTGTGTATATATATTCGATCTAAATCTAAACTATTAATATAGCTAAAGAACTCGGAATTTTAAGCACTCAAGATCGCAAAGTTAAACCACCAAGACTTTACATCCTAACTTCACCAATAAATATCAAGGTCGCCATTTAATCACAACTAAATAAAACACTATAATACGATAGGGCATCTATAATATAATTCTATATGTATAAAGAAAATTTGTGATACGCACCATAGTGACCATACGTAAATACAAAGTATATATACTTCGTATAATAATGTCCACTTGATGGGAATAATACGGAAGGAAATAGCCTGGAAAACAGGTAAATTAGGTTTGGCTACCCCTTTCCCTCCTTCAAGAAATTAGATAGCAAGTAGCAACTTGATCATGATATACTATCCCTTCAACATACATACTGTATTAAATATGTTCAATATAATAAAGTTGACGTCCATAATATTTTTAAAGCATCATATCACCTCTCATTTTCCCCAGCAATATTATACCAAGTATTGTTCTAGATAAAATAGAAAAAAAAAATTAACAGAATAACAAAAGTAAACAAGACTTAGATCAGAGTATAATATATCAGATCATTTTTTATACATTAAATTGTGAAAGTACTACCAAAATTAGCACCACATCTTTGTGAACTTGCGTGCATTTCTTGATCTTTCTTCCATAATAATAATAATAATGTACATAGATGTATACAACTTTTCGTCCTTCTGCATTTTGATGTCGTATTAGCTAGTTGTACAAATTAGACTCAGTATAATAATAGACATAGTGAGTAATGTTCACAAACATCGAAAACTATATATATACTACTCCATATTTTTATGTGTTTTCTCACCAATAATAATATCAATGACTAAAAACAATTTTAATTTGTGTTGTGTAGTGAACTTAAATTAATTAATCGATGATTTCACAAAATTTTAGAATCTCACATTGAAATCAATCGTTGACTAAGATCGATCTAATCAATTAGTTGGATATGAAGAAATCAAATGAGGAGGGATGCAAGGAGAATTCTTCCAAACCCTAGAATGCAACCTTAACATTTCTTTAGCCCTCTCTTTAGTCTTTGAACTACAATCCACCTGTATGACCAAGCACAACTTCGCCACCACCCCTACCTCCATCATCTCCCCAACCACCTTCGCCGTTCCCACGTACCTTGATATCGTCGACAATATCCTTATTGCCCGATCACTCGCCACGTGGGACACCCGTAATATCTTCTTAGACACTACCGCTAACCCTGCACCATGCCCTACCAGATCCGCCCTTCCCTCCGCACATCCACATAACTGATCCAACACCACCAACGCCAACTCCGAGATTCGTCGATCCAACATCCCATCCAAAAGCAGCTCCACCAACACATGGACCGCCCCAGACCCGACCGCCTTGACTCGATTTCTCCCCCAAGGGTTTAACTCAACAAACAACTTCAACGCATTTTTTGTAGCCTCTTTCGAAACCTTATCTCTTAAAACCCTAACAATAAGCGCAAACATCTCATGCTCAACACTACCCAACCGAGTAGGATCCGCTACACTATAAACCATCTTCATCACCTTAATCGCATTTTCTCTCTCATTATTAGACGACGATTCACTACTTAACAACCCAACTAAAGAATCAATAAACAAATCAGCAAAATTATCATTTCTCAAGATCACGCTCTTAAACTCTTGATCGTAGCTGTCCATTTGTGCTAGAATAAACAGCGCTTCTTCCTTTTCTTTCCTTGTTGCATCCTTTTCTATTAACACATCTGCAACATACTGGAGACCTCCACAAGTAACTATAATATTCTTGCATCTGGACGAATAATAATGAGTCGTGGCTGGAACAATGAAGGACCGAATTCTCTGCAAGCAGGTGTACCTCATCTGTTGGGGTGACTTACTTGCATCGGAGATTAACTTGCTCATGTTAGACTGTGTTATAGTAGGGGGTTGTGTCGGAGTAGGGATACGCTCTACGCCGTAAGATGCGTGAAGAGTGCACCATGATTGAATCAGACGGCGGAGAGTATGGTTAGGGGTGATGATGCAGCTAACATCATCATCTAGGGGTTGTTTGGTAACAGGACAAATTGTTTTGTTACAAGAAAAAAGCCATTTTTCAATAAAATCTCTATCAAAAGTAATACCAGTTGATATTGTAACTGGATCTCTCATTAATTGAAGCGAAATTGGGCATAGAAAATGTGATGGGATCTCAATATTCACCTCCATCTTTATTTATTTTTGGACTATATACTATATTATATATATATATTGAAATAATAATACGGATGAAGTAAAACTTTATTTGGTGTTGGAGAAAAAGAGGTTAAAATGATGAGCTTATATATATGTGATGAAATGGTAGGAGAGAGAATTTAATATGAATGAAAGAAATCAGGCCATGTTTACAACTTGTAATTACAGAAATCAGATGCAAAGTCAAACACGTTATTTTTCAAACCGGGAGAATTGAAAGGAATTTATTAGTTTTTTTTTTTTTGGTTAAGTAGACGACTTTTTATTGGTTGTGCCTTGGGAGGAGAAAAGCTAAAATTTGACCTATTGACAGCTCAATAAATAATAATTAAATAAATATTTTTATTTTTAAAAAAATAAAAATAAAAATAAATAAGAAATTAAAAAACACTTGTGTATAAATATAATGTAATTAATAATAGATTAATGAAAAAAGTAGAAGTTAATATAGGGAGGAAAGAGTGGCCACATCTCTTGAAAAAGGGAAAAATGGCTCAACGGTCGGTGTAAGTTAGAAGAAAGAAGAAAGAGGCTCCTTTATTTTGACTTTTTTTAAAAGTCCAAGGACTAGCTCTCATAAGTCACGTTCATTGGTTCTACAAGGTTTCATTTCATCTACTCTAAATTGGATTCTAAATTATTATATGGTCTGATTTTCCTTAAAAACTATTGCATGAACTAGCTCCCATCAACTTCTTTTTTTAATGTATCTAGAAATTAAGGATATAATAATTCATCTCTAGGAAAAAGAAATAATAATTCATTCAATAAATAATTTCAGCTGTTTTTTTTTATAAAAATAAAATAAAATATTGATTTAATAAAAGTTTGAAAGTTTTTTTCTTTTTTATTTTTTTAATGGAATAAGGAGGGGTGGTGATTTCATTAAATAATACTAGTCATTCGGCACTTACAATCATCCCTTATTAAGAGATCTAAATTCGCAATACAAGTATTTAACACCTCTCTAAACTATTGGCATCGCTTCTGAACTGCTCCTGAATAAATTTAGATGTCTTTGCATTGTTTTTGACGGAGCTCTATTGATGTAAAGTCGCGAAAGTGATAAAACTTGATTGGTCATTAAGATCGGCAAATTTGTAAAACGAATCTTCTAAATTTGCACCCCTAAACCAACAGACTCGCAATTCCACAAATTTACAAGACGAATCTTTCAAATCTGTATTCCTGCACACACGAAAAACAAACAATAATACTAAAAATCCCACCATTAGGAAACCAACTAAACCCTACATGGAGGGACTGACTACAATCACCATACTATTAGTGATCTTTATTGGCTAAAAACATTAAATTGAAGAAGAATTTGTGGCTTACCATCGATAAAATCAATGGGAGCCTCTAAGTTTTATTATGGTGGCTAGGTTTGAAAAGAGAGGGAACAGAGAATTTTTTTAGGGTTTTTTTAAGTTTGAAAGTTTTCTTGTAATAATAAGTGTAGAGTTTTTTTTTTTTTTTTTTTTTTTTTTTAACACAACCAATTTTATGCATAACATTAGCATGCATGATAGTACATATACGAGTAATTCTTACATGTATAGTACATAGTAACTTTTACATATCCCTCAAAGTGACTACTCTTTCGGCCTTTTTTATTTATTCAAAGCAATAATCAAATTATATCATATACTAATATCCTTCTTCCGTTTTTTTTAGTTGACACCGTTTGACTTTTACACTATTCACAAACTATACTTTGACTAGTTTTTGTGATTTATAGCTACGATAAAACATAGCCAAGTGGGATCTTGTTTGAATCGTCTCAATGTATATTTTATTAGGAAAATTAGTGTAAAAGGACCATTTAAGTGGTTGATTTTGTTTAAAAGGACCTTTTAAGTGAAAAGTTGTGAAACAGGACCTTTTATAAGTTGTATTATGTTGTGAGGGAGTACTAGGCTGGGTTTTTTGGGTGGTCAACAGCGGAACTCCAGCGTTGACTCTCACGTGGGGGGTCACGTGACTTCTAAAAAAAAGCTCATACGTTATTTTTCCCCTTTTCCCTCCTTTTCGAACTACCCCTTTTATTTTCCCCCTTTCATACTTTCTAAAAAAAACATGTGGGCTTTTTTTTAAAAGTCACGTGACTACCACAGTCCCACGTGAGAGTCAACGTCGGAGCTCCGCTGTAAACCACCCGGAAAACTCAACCTAATTCCCCCTCACAACATAATACAACTTAAAAGGTCCTTTTTCACAAATTTTCACTTAAAAGGTCCTTTTAAACAAAATCGACCACTTAAAAGTCCTTTTACACAAATTTTCCATTTTATTAATATCCACTTTTTATAATTTACAATATTGAGAATTAGAGATATTAATCGTTAAAATAGTGCGGTTGCAAGCGTGATAATAGAATGGTGCCAACTAAATAAAAACGGAGGTAATAGCTTACTAGCTTATATAAGTACTTTTTTACAATCCTAAATGGCTAATTAGCTACATCATGTCATTCTATCGCGACATACTATAAAAAAATATTACTCGTATATTATTTGCTACTTAATATAAAAAAATTAGTTAGGTGTATAAGAAGGGTTAAAGGTCTGAACTGCACCGTATCTTTGCGCAACAAATAGGAAGCCATGGTTGCCTGGTATCTACCCATGAGACTATGATGATGCTCATATATTTATCATAAATTCATAATAGCTTTCGGATTATATAGCCCTTCAGCAGCTTGAGTAATTCAATTATTGATTCAATTCTTTGAGCACATGGGACTTACATTAAAAACTTGTGATTTACCTGGTCTAAAATGGTTGAATTGATCACACCAATATACTAAGTCTATCACAAAAGGGATTCAAGTAGCTTCTTTAAACTTGGTATTAGCACAATAATATTGATTCTCCCATGTGAATTATGAAACTGTCATTTTCAATCAATTGACTTGGCCGGCCATCGTTACTTCTTCTTGCTAAATTAAACGAACTGTATATTAGTCGTCATATTACCTAGCTATCATCTATCAAATACCAGTAGGTAATCTGGAGGATCACAGTATTAACCTAGTTTAACGTGTATACATGATATGATTTTCAACTTGGTGCAAATCAAGTTAGTTGTAACGAAGATTTCATTGGGATAGGCACGCATATTTATGTAATAATATGTAATATAAATACAATACCACTATACAAATACGAGATACAAGTGACCTGTTAAATGTTGAGTTGGTCCATCATTTAAACATTATCATCATCTGCCATTTTCCACCTTCCTCCTGTGATTGCTATTAATTCCATCTCCTTCTTTTTTTTTATTTCATTTTCAGAATAAATTAAATAAGTTTTGAATATTTTTGTTAGCAAATGTTGGATCATTTAATAAATTATATAACTACATTGACTCTCCTACCCAATCAATAGCAAGTTGGCAGACTGACAGTTTGTGGAATTATATTTGTTGCTCTGACCTAATCCCCCAGAACTTTGATGATACTTAACCATCCTTCAATCAATCTTTTTTATCTAAATAATGAATAAAAGAAAAAATTATTATTGTTTTTTAAAGGATAAAAAAATGAAAGAGCGGCAAGCCGGCAAGGGTTAGCAACAGCCTAATACAGTAGTTCACTTTTAAATTTCAACAGATGATGTACAGCCCATACAATTCTACAAAACAAATCTACTTCTTTGTTCTATATATTTTTTTCTTGTTCGATCAAGTCTGATAAAAAAGCGACATACTATCTAAACTTATTCCGATCCATTTAAACTTGTATAATCTAAACTGCTTGTTGAAATTTCATTATTTTTATTATCATAACATCATTCCATTACGTTTGAATTGTTTGTTTATCCTTCTCAAGGGTTCTTTTGAATGTATTAGTTGGAACTATTCATATATTATGAACAAAGCAAAGAATAATTGGAAAAAAAAAAAAATTGTATTTACACTAGTCAAAATTGTTTAGTCAACTAGATGATGTCGATGCTAGATAGCAAATAGGAAAAGTAGATTAGCTAAGATCCAATAAATTGTATAGAACTTACCAATTATATTGCCGCTATCTTTGCTGAGCGAACATGCATGCTTAAATCTGATTTCGATATTAATTATTTAATTACTTAATTAACGGCTGAAAACAGATCATATTTCGCTAACCGATCAGACAGCAGGATAAAATAATTCCAGATTTACGTATAATAAAGTTTTAAAATTTATTCTTTCAAAAAAAAAAAGTTCTAAAATTTAAATAAAAATCACGTAAATTAAGATGATGCCATAATCTGATGTAAACATTTTTAAAAAAATAATAATTTTTTACTCCATATTAAATTACTGTATGGATTACTAATTAGTAAGAGAACTATAATCTTCATTATCAACTTAATGACCTTTCTTTCAGTTTTAAGATATACGTCGATGAATGAAATTTCCGGTCGATATGAATCATATGATCATTTTAAAGAGTTTCGTTTGATACACAAGTGATATATTTGTAATAAAAAGAAATGGGCCTAAGTGTAGTGAAAGTTGTCGTTGCCAAATTGGTATTTCTGGGCCTGGTCTTTTCTCCACCTTATTCATTGGCCCATAAACACATTTCAAGCAATGTCCTACCAGCTAGGCCCATGGTCTTACCTGCCTTATTCAAAAGCGCAGATTATTCCATACTCTCACCATTTTTCCATAAGTGCGTCAGTTTGGCCAATACATAATTTTAGAAAGATGAGTTGAATGGTGTAAGTGGAGTTTGTTGGAAGTAAAAAAGATACGAGTAATGAAATAACAGTTTATTAAAAGGCAAGGAATGTGAGAATTAAATGATTTTTAATTTCATGGTAATTCCATCAAGAGCTCTAATTTGAAGCTAATACGAAATTGAAATTTAAGATTTTCATATATATATATAAAAAAAAAAGAGAGAGAGAGATTATTATGTAGTATTATACTGTAGATCCAACTCTCAAATTGTTTCTTATGTGAGAAATTGGACAAGGTATTATCGATCAATTGAATTTAGGATCGAAATATTATATTTTTATAGCCCTTAAAAAAAAAAAAAAAAAAATATGACAGAGGCAAAGATCTATCCAAAAGTGGCAAATTTAGGTTGATTCATTATGTAAGTGTGTAGTGCTTTTACGTTAGTGCTTAGTTGAGCCATTACTACAATTACAACATGTTGCATCAAATTGCAACTTGGTTCTGATCCCCCACTACTATTGACTAGTGACTTAGTGAGTAGTTATATCGTGTTTTTAAAAATCAAGGGCATAATCTATTTTCTACACCGACAAATTAAAGCAACGATGTATCAGCATATGTCTGCCCAAATAATGTGAAAAAAAGATAAATTTGATTACATCACTAGACAAAAAGGTGACAATCCACACAATTACAAGTAATTACTTGAACGTACATATTTCTTCATGATGAAAGTTCATGCATCCAATAATGATCCAAATATATAAAGTTCGCTTTTTTCTTCCTTGTGATTATGATTTAATTAAGAAAGAAGAAGTATAATTAATATTAATAAACATTTTAATTGCATATGGAGACTAGGCGAATTTATATTCAATTCCTTTCTTTATATTCTTCCAAAACGTGTTTTTTTTTTCTTTTTCAATTGTTAAGTAGTAGGCGTCTTCAGCCATAAGTTTTAGAGTAATTTTAACTTTTTAAACAATCAAAAGCTACTTAATTTAAATAGTAATGTTTGACAAAGTAGTGGTGGCTGATAGAATTTAAATTTTAAAGTAGTGTTTTATTTAAGATACTC